CTGTTTTGGACTTTGACTTTGGGACTTTGGGAAGATCGAGAACTTTTCTCTTTCTTTTGGGGGGCTTCGGCTCATTGGGGGCTTCGGCCAGTTCTTGTTACTAATACTGTTTTGGTTCATCTCAATACAATTTCAGATTGATTCTTCATAGATTTCTGTGCATCTTCTGTAAACCTAGATAGTCTCTATCACATAACCCCTTCTTTCTTCTTTCTTGTAGCTCGATTTGTGTCAACCTCTGACCCTGTTTCCAGCTGGTGTTTGGTTCAGTGGATTCCCCCACACGGTTCTAAGCTTTAAATTTATCAGTAAAATTGGATTGGGACCTCCATTTACTGCCATATATCCAATGTTGAGGTTTTCCCAAGACTCATTTTTCCTTTCCACTTCTCTGCTCTCCTTCCCTCAATTTTCCACCTTTCAGTGCAGCATTCTTTCCTTCCAAAATCATAGATATATCCATCAGTTCACGCAATGTAGCTTTAGGATACAGTTTAAGTTCTTTCACCTCTTCCCTTAACCCATTTAGGTAGATTTCTTTTAGCATTTCACTGAACCAGTCTGTCTCAGGCTAAGCATTGGTCCAAAAGAATTCTGTAAGAGCTTCGGTTTGGAATCTCCTTATCAGTGCCTCGTTGAACAATTCCACTCTCCTCAATCTTCCCTTCCCACCATTGAAACCAGTTCAAGGCTTTTTCTTTCATGGCCAATATCACTAGCTAAATCTTCTCCTGCTCGGTTACCTGGTTTAATTTGAAAAAAAATTCTACTTTAATAATCCAGCCATTATTCACATCTTCACCACTAAACAGAGGTAATCCACCTTCCTACCAATCCTTTCAAAGCCTTTATTAACATGATCATGTTCATGTACGTAAGAGAAATTTGGCAACATGTGTGGATTACCTTGGAAAGGCGACGGCGAACCAGTGCTAGCATTAGGAGATCGACGTCGATTTGTTCGCGACCTCCTCTGGATTTCCATCGATCCTTGTTCGCAATTCATCCCTTCCATCGAACTCCGCATGTTGGGCATCTCATCCACCACCGATGGCACATCGGTTGTATTCCGCTCCAGATTTGCTATTACCGATCGCACATCAGTAGAGTTTCACTCCATGTACTGCTCAATGTTATCCAGTCGATTCTCCATTTGCAACCTCGTAAATCTCATTCACTTGCTACAGGACCAAACTGCTCCGATACCAATGATAGGTAAACAGTTCATGTCAACTGAATTTTATTAATGAAAAGGACTCATGAGGAATTCTCAGAGCAATTCCGTAGAGTTTACAGAGGAGGAAATATGTAAAAATGGAATCTAGAGGTAGAAGGGGACAGTTTCTCTCTCTAGCCAATCCCATCCAACCATAACAGAAAACCAGCCTAACTTTATTAGCCTTCTCGCCTCTATTTATATCTTCCAGTACTCATCATACAACTTTATTAACCCCCGCCCCTTTTTCCCTTCCTTACATACACCTTATTATAATACTCCACACCCCTTGTCCTATCAAACGTAAACTTCTTGCTCTGTTATGCTCTACTGTTACCTGTTCGCTACCTCCTCCTGTTCCTCCACATCAACCGCAGAAGCTTGCAGCAGTGCAGCACTCAACGATCAAAGTAACCTTTCTTCTCCTTCATCTTCCATTCATTCTATTTTATTACTTTTTCATTTTTCAGTAGCTACTTCTTCTTACATACTACTAGTATTTTTTGAGCATGTATATGTAAAGTGTAAAATACCAGTTACTTCTTCTTGTACTCTATGTCTCTATAGAACTCTTGCTCTACAGTCTAAACAACTTAAACATATATATAATTTATGTAAGCTACGGGTATATTTTTTATTACCATGTATATGTAAACTTACAGCTTACTTGTATACTTCTTCTCCTAGCTACCATGAAGTAAATTGTCCATGTATATAAGTAAACTACCAGCTTACTTGTATACTTCTTCTCCTAGCTACCTTGTAAACTACCAGTATGTTTTTTCACCATGTATATTTTTCACCATTTTTTCAAACATATACTCGCTCTTGTACTCTGTAGAACTCTTGTTTATATGTTTCAGCTAGTCAGTTCTACAGCCTAAACAACTTAAACATATATGTAAACTATTTCTATACTTGTATTTTTTACAAAGTATATGTAAACTACCAGCCACTTCTTGGAGTACATACTACCGGTATACATACTATCTAGAACATACTACCAAACTACCCTTTTTTACCATGTATACATACTACCAGTCCATGACTTTATTTTGGTTAATCGTGACTTTAATTTGGTGAAGCATGAATTTATTTGTGAGAAACATGACTTTTTATGTAGTTGGTTCAATGTGGTGTTATCTACATCATGTTTGATTGTTGGAGAGTAGTATGTGTTATATATTCTAAGCAATGCGCCTGACATGAGTCACGCAAGCGCTTTGTTGCGCCTTGCGCCTCAGGCGCTGGAATTACCCTATCACCTTGATTGAACCTCACGCCTTTGACTACCTTGTGTAGATGAACTAGTGGGTTTAGGATCTGGAGAAGATTGGTGATGAGAGTTGAAAAGCTTATACAACTGCTCTAGCTGCCTCGGGGAGAAACAGGATTGTTCATTAGGTTGAGATGCACTGGCTTCTTCAGAAGACACATGAAGTGTCCAACATTTTGCTTTCACATTACCAACACAGTGACAATATTCACAGAACGGTCGATTACCCCATGGTGGTGGCTGCGAGGAAAATTGCTTTGGTCTGTAAGTCACTAAAGGCAGAGATTTCTGATCCGGATTTAGTTGAATCATGACCAAGCAGGGGCGGAGATAGGGGTGGGCCAACCTTGGCCCTGGCCCAGCCCAAATTTAAAAAATGCCTTTATTTTTAGTATAAAAAATTCCGGGCAAATTGTTTTTCACAAATATTCTTTGTATCAGCCCAGTCAGGCCTAGTGTGCTGGCTCCGCCCCTGTGACCAAGCATTACTACCCGCCTACTTTCTTCATGGCGGACTTCAGCAAAGACCTCGTTTGTGCTTGGTAATGGATCACGGCCCAGCACTCTTGCCTATAACTTTATCTAGTTCCTTGTTTAAAATTGCAAGGAAATCAATTACTCTCTCCTTATCCACCATTTTTTGAACATAGTATTGTCAGCAGGACAACTCCACTCATAATCACTATAGAAATCAGTAGAGCTGTCAAACGGGCCAACCCGACCCGACCCGTAACGGGTTATGCTTTATGTGGGTTGGGTCGGGCCAACCCGTTTAATGACGGGCCAGGATTTCTACAACCCTAACCTAACCCACCTAACCCATGGGTTAAACGGGTTGGCCCGCGGGCCAATGTAAAAAAAAATATAAAACGAATTTTTTTAAAAAAATAATTACCCGGAAGTATATATTTATATTAGCAAGTAGTAAAAAAGGAAATATAAGAAATCAAAATACTAAAACTTCAATACTTGTTAAGTTTAATTAAAAATATTAAATACTAGTTATACGAGAATTTGAAAACTATAAGAGGCTATGCGACAAAAATACTCATTGTATAAAAATAAAGATTTACATAAAACTTTTGATTAATTATTTGCAAATAATGACTACTAATTGTTAAATATTGTATCGAACTTCACAAAAAATATACTTGTATGTTTCAACATTTTATTTGAATATTTATTATAGAAATAAAAGAATAATATGTTTTTAATTGTAATTATAAAAATATTGGTAGTAAAAGAACAATATTTTAGATAATAAAATTCAAAACTACATTTTTGTATTTTGGCCCGCGTGCCAACTCGTAACCCGGTGGGCCAACCCACTTAAACCCGCAACCCGCGTGGGTTGACCCGCGAAACCCGCGAACTAAATGGGTCAGGAATTCTCAACCCTAACCCACCAATAAACGGGTTTAAATGGGTCAGCCCACGGGTTTCGACCCATTTTGACGGCTCTAGAAATCAGATTCCTCAGCCCGCGGGTTTCGACCCACCAATAAATAGGATTTTAAGATTTGTGTAGAATTGAGTGACAGTTTTCTCATCTTTTTTAGCTGTTCTGAGACGACTTTTTAAGTCAAATAATTGACAGGCATTACCTATCAGAATAGGTTTCCTTCAAGTCGTCCAAATATTGTGAGCTATTGGAAAAAAGAGATAAGTACAACTCACGTCGGGTTCCATGGAGTTGATCAACCATGACATCAACATTGAATTTTCCGCCTCACATTTATCAAAGAGTTTATTGGAAGCTGGTGGTTGGGATACAACGCCGGAGAGATGATCGAATTTGCCCTTTCCTTGAATAAAAAGTTTGACAGATTGAGACCATTCAAGAAAGTTTCTGCCATTTAGTTTATGACAAGCTATCGACAAGCCTTGAATAGGCTCTGAATTGGAGAAAGAGGAAGAGTCAATCGAGTGAGTGGGATCACTCGTTTAACTTGAGTTTTCTGAGTTGGTCCGAAGATCGACCATGATTTTCTAGGGTAGCGGCTTTGATACCATAAAGGTAAATATGATTGAACCGAGGATAATAACCTCCTTCAATGATCAGTTATTGCAAATACAATACAACAACTGATCTTACAAAAAAGTGATAAGATTACAATATCTGATTACAATTTAATCTTGGCCTATAGTAACAACCTTAACTACTTTGACCTATTATATAGTTATTCGACACTTCCCAATAGTAAATTGATACTATCATTTTAATATAGATGTAATGTTTATCAAGAGATAGACTAAACCCTTCAAAGTATTTCCTCCAAAGACCTCCAAAACCCCGAGGTGGCCTCTAAGGGGATTTTTGTTTATAACGGACATTACGAATATAAATAGCCAGTACCAAACTGATGTCACTTAAAATACTCTTTAGGTATTTTATTGTTTAAATAGCAATAAAATAACCTATTGTGAATCAAATCTGTGATGAGAAAATTTTGTACCAATTAAGTTCAATTGTTTAAACATTAGCAAACGGAACAGGAGAATTCTTACTTGTCCTGGGTAGTAAAATGGAAGTTCATACTGCCAAAAGACAACGAGAGGAGGGTTAAATATGATATATGTGTAAATATGGACAAAAAAATTGCTGAATCATCAGTACAATATGGGGAAAAAAGGGCATCACCATTCCCTCCAGGTAATCCTCTCCTCTTTTCCGTCTACCAGGGTAGTAGTCTTGGTCATACTACACATGAATTAGAAAACATCATGAGTAACTCAAACACAGAGATGATGTATCATTCTAGCAAGATCAAGCTAATCACAAATCTTTTTAAATTACTCCAGCTAAAAGTATAACAATGAAGGAATGGTGTCCAAATGTCCAATTATAAAAAAGACACGGTCCTTTCTCTTTTCAATCACAACAGAATGTTATTTCACAGAGCATAAAGTATAAACAACAACGTCGTCGTCGTCATTGCTGCAAAGGCTCTCACCTATGGTGGGGTAAGGGGTCGGATGTACACAGTCTTATACCCCATAATGAAAATTGATAATCGTGTCAAAAATTGCAACTAAATGTTGCTTCATAACAAAGAAGAAGCCCATAAAGTATAAACAACCAAGGAAAAAAACTGCTAAATAGCGTACCTTATACGACTCCTTTTCTAATCTATTCTTGTTAGCGGCAACCCATTCTTTGTACTGCTTCAGGAACATACTATATCTGTCCAAGTTCAAGCCATCAGACTTCTCAACGTCCCTCTCCTCCAAATTACCATAGTCAACCCTTTCTGCCAATAACTTGTGCGCCTCTCTAATGAACTCCAGCTCCTTCCGATCTACCACCCATCCCCTTGGAGGCCAGTCCCGAGGTGGCACATGACGGACGACCAGCGGGCCGGACCACAAGGTGTTCAAAGGCTCGGGGATTTCCCCCTTAATCTCGAACTGCTTAGCGTAGTACTGGTCTTCAGTCAAACCCATCTCCTTCATTTTCTTATTCCTGTAACTAGGGCGTAGCATTTTGAAGGCTTCAATGGCCTCAGGTGACTGAAGCGGGACTTCCTCTCCCTCGTTTAGGGATTTCCGGGCGAAATCCCCTTCGGGAGTGAGGATTTCCTCCCACGGAGCCCAACCTCGCTCAATCCAGTTGCGGCGTCGAGCTTCATCTTCAGATTCCTTTTCTTTTGGTCCGAATGATTGAAGAAAGACGTTGTCCTCCTCGCCGACAGGGTATTCATCGGATTTGAAGCAGCAGACGGAGGGGAAGTCGATTTTTGCAGAAAGGTGAGTGGGGGGGAATTGGACGGGTTTTGCGGAGGTTTTAGGCGATAGGAAGGTAAAAAGGAAAGGCGGGTGAAGTTGGAGGGAGTGGTGCATTCTTCGGATAGAGAAAAAAAAAATAGCTGTGAAGTAGCCGTTGGTACCCAAAAGGTGTACACATCTTATCTACACCTGCAAAAATCAGCTGTCATACGGTTCATCCGGACTCGGCGCTTCATGTTCACGTACTCCCGTGCAGTAGATGTTTTGCAAGTGTGAGAAAAGTTTTGTATAACTTCTCATTTTTTGGAATTTTGTTAAATCAGAACATGACGGATGAATTGTCAAAATTTGACATATTAGAGATAAAATGTGTCCAAATTTGATTCAAAACTGATAAATTTAATTGAAAACTATTGATCTAAAACCTAAAATTTTATAAGTTTTTATTTATTTTTTTATTAAAGTCATAGCAATTATTTGATGAGTTTTTCTTCACAAAAGTCATGAGTTCAATAAAATTAAAAAATATACTGACACCAAATTGATAAAAATGATAAATTGATAGTTTCAATCATTTCATCTTTCAGGTCCATATTGATAATTTATCTATCTTTCAGATTCTGGATTGATAACAACAACAACAACATCCAAGCCTTAGTCCCAAACGATATTGGGGTCGGCTAACATGAATCGATGCATGATATCACCAAAGGAAAAGAAAGAAAATAAAGATAAAAAAGATAAACTATTATAAAAAAAAGATAATATAAAAGAGATGAATATACATATAAAAGATAAAATAAAAAGGATAAAGTAATATTTATATATAAGGATAAAAATATAAAAGAAAAAGAAAAAAAGAAGAAGAAGAAAAGAGGGGAAAAGATGATACAAGATCACTCCTCCACACGAATACCCGCCCTCCATTTTGCTCTCTCCAAAGTCATACCCTCATCCAACCTAAGAAGAAGCATATCACTTCTGACTTCCCTAACCCACGTCTGTTTGGGTCTTCCTCTCCCTCTCTTCCCTGCCTCTTCTCCACACATCTCAACTCGTCTGACAAGTGCATCACTCGATCACATAGAAATCCCGACACACTCTTCCACTTCATTATATTCTATTGTGTAATGCATGCTATATTTTATGTAAATTTCATTGTAAAATATGTAAATACAAGTTTTAATATATATATATATAGTTTATATTTGATGTAAATGTGATACATATCTAAATGATATTATGCATATTTTAAAAACGTGTGATTAACTTGTAAATGTAATATTATTTATTGATACAAAAGCTAAGGAGACGTTTGTTTCGCTACTAAAAACACAGTTAGGTTAGTAAAACGGGTGAAGTAAACGCATGAACTGATTAAAACATGTTTACTAACTCAAACAGCTGTTTAAAGTGTCACTTACCAAACATATCACCCTCTGTGTGTTAATTAAACGACGATTTAAGCTTTTTTCACTTTCCGCATTACCCATACGCCTTATAGATATATTATAAAAAAATATGCAAATATACATCTGCATATATATAATATTATATATAGAATATTATGTGTGTGTGTGTATATTGTTTTATATCATATCATGTCATATTATATCATATCATTTTTTAAAGCTCGATAGGCAAACTGCTCATCGGTGGGGCAAACGTCGAACATTTAGCAAGATTTTATTAAATAGACTAGTTTAGTAACGCGCGTTGCGCGTTCGTGGTAATGCCCAAAGCCACTGTAGGGACATTAATTTATCGGTTAATTCGTGAATACAATACTTGAACACATAGTTTGTTATTTATGATAAGGGATCATAAACAATAAAGTATTTATAGGCTAGATTATATGTGAGAAAATAAAACAACCAAGATGACTATAATAACCAAAATAGTAGGAGTAAAGTTCACATGTGGTGTCTTCCTCGTCATCATCTTCCCATGTTTTTTCAGCACTGAAACACATTCAACAAACCTACAGAATTCAGGAACCCGTAATGTGTCTTCTTCTTCTTCATCTTCCCATGTTCTTTCTTCTTTCTATTTCAGCTTGCAGTTTTCATTTATTATGTCATCTTCTTGGTGATCTTTTCATTTTATTCTTTCAGTCTATCTTCTTTCTTTACTTTTATCAGTTCCAGCTATACAACTCAAACATATTATATGTACCTGACTACCAGTTTACATTACATGTACTCTATATTATTTTATATTATTATACACTCTATAACTTTATATCTTCCTATTATCATATCATATTTTAACTGTATTAAAACTTCATATAATCTAACTCAGTTAATAGTTTCATACACTAAAATTGCAAAATCAACAAAGACACACCCACTTGTTTTTTTTGTGAACAGTGATTTTATTTGTAAATCGTGACTTTATTTTTTTAGAAACATGACTTTTTGATGCATTTAGTTCAATATGAAGTTGAATATGTCATATTTGATCAGTCTAAATAGTATACATAATATTTTCTAAATAGTGCGCTTGAACTGAGTCAGGCGAGCGCTTTTGTGCGCCTTGCGCCTCAGGCGATACAAGTACTCTAACGCCTAAAGTGTGCCTCGCGACTTTGACTACCTTGATCGTAGGTGACAATGATCAGGCCTTGTTTTCGAGCCAATAAGGGGACGGCCCAAACACAATTCTGGTAAAGAAAGGGGCTTATAATGATAGATTTGCATAAGCATTAAATTCTGCTTTCAATAGCATTTAGTGGCTTTGTAGGATGTAACTTATAAGATCAAGCTAAACATGTTTTCGGGTATAGAATATTAAACATAATTAATGAACTCTTTCATAACTGAAATTTTACAAAGCGAGTTTCTAAAAGCAAGTAAACAAGTAAAAACAACTCAAACTTCATCTCCATGGTATCATGTGCAGTTTTTTTGGGTTGATATCATGGATTAGAATCTGTTTTATCAAAATGACTTAAAATTTCATTGTTACATGCAGTGTTGTATATATGATTAGGGTGATGATGAAACAGTACAATGACAATATATATATATATATATATATATATATATATATATATATATATATATTATATAAGTTTTAAAAAAGTTCTTATTCCTGAAAAGAACATGCAATATCAATATTACTATATTATTAAAGGCAAGGGTGCAAATGTATCCCTAATTTATATGTGGAGGTGCAAATATACTCCTGAACTTCTAAAAGGTGCTAAAATACTTCAATGTTCATATAAAGGAGCAAATATACCCTTATTAACTTTAAATAAATAAATAAAATAGATTATAAAATTAAATTTCAAAAATGAAAAATAAAAAAAATAAACAGTTTTTTACCAAAAAAATTGAAGGGATAAAAATAAAGAATTATTTTTATGCTAAAATATTAACTCTTTTAATTTTAAATTGCAAACTATTATTTTTTTCCTTGTAATACTTTAGAAGCTAGGAGGACCACAAACTATGAGATCACAAGTTGGCTTTTCTGTCAAGACTTATTAACTCTGAAGAAAAACGTTATTTATCTGCTATAGTTGAACAAAATAAAACAATCATGTAAAAAGAGCAGATTATTAAATGACGTTGAAAGGCGCCCAAAACAATGAGATGTTGCAACTCCTTGCAAACCCACTTTTACAGAAGACTTGCTAGACTCTTAACCCCAAAATGTCTTCTTATAGTCTTATTCATAGTAGTAAGCATAAGTTATTTTGAATGGATATAATCTAACCGTACACACCAAGATAAAAACAAGGGAAAAAGAACTTTACAATGTTCAAGGACCGCGGAACTTTAGTGACAACTTCATTTGTCTCACAAAGTGTACTGCAAGCTAATAATATAAGGATCCAAAAACTTTTTCTTTTTGCTAACAAAATTCTATAAGATGAAACCAACTATATTTCATTTTGGATGAGTGCTGCAACATAGGAAGAGTGTTTGAGAAGCATAGGAACAGATAAGAACGGTGAGCATTACCGTCCAGAAGAGTAGACCGGAAGAAGAGAAGAGCAAAGTATCTTACAATAGAGAAAAGCACACACCAGTTCCAATATATATAGGGGGTTCCTGTGAGAAAGGATTCTCAGGAGAGAAATGAGAATGAATCTGGACCGTTGGATTGTATGATGTGAAATTGAATTGTGCATTTGGTAAAACTGAAATGTGCATTAAATGAATTGAAATGTGCAAAATGAAAAATAAAACTCAAATGTGCATTACGCGAAATTGAAATGTGCAGAATAAAAGGCTCAAAAAAATGCCACCATATCATAGTTTTATTCTGCACATTTCAGTTTCACCTAGTGCACATTTAAGCTTACCTTTTATGCTGCACATTTTGATTTCATCTAATGCACATTTTAGTTTCACTAAATGCACATTCAATTTCACAAATTACAATCTAATGGTCCAGATTCATTCTCATTTAGAAATTCCATGGAGCACAAAAATAGATGGCATTTTATCAATTGTGGAATTCCTTGCATCACTGCACGGAAAAAAGCAAGATTCAAATACAGTGTCAAAAGCTTGAAGAAAGCATAATAAAACATTTGGTTAAAACCTTATCCATGAGAGGGACTCGTCCATAGGGACCAGATTGTTCAAAATATTGAAAGTAGAGGTAACCCAATCCATCATTCAAATGTCAGAGACCATCATGTTCATACAAGCCCTCGAGGAGCATCCATCCCATCTAGACAACTTCTCACTCTCACTTTCGTCACTGAATGAATCTCTAAACGAATCTCGAGTCTCGCAAACTGAGTCACTCTCATCCCTTGGACAATTAAAGGGGAAACTACATATTCACAAAATGAATTCATAACTCAAGCCACCCAAACTACTTGCACAAACAATTCTGGGAGCCCGTACAATAGAATCACAGAGGGGTGTGGGAGACGGAAGAATTGAATAAATGAAAAGCCAAAAAAATCCCAATGGATAGGGAACTAATCATGCTTGCGGAGAGTAATTGCAAAGTAAAAATTGTTGAATAGAGGAAAACTTACAAGAGTGCAACCGGGAAAGAGTGGAAAATCTTCTGTGTAACTCAACTGTCCAGAAGCCATTACTAAGGAGCTAGAAATGGTGAGCCGCTGAAACGGAGAACAGGAGCTCAAAGGGTAACAGCTGAACAGGTCTCAAAGTTTTGTTTTTTGTTTTTGAGGGAACAGGTCTCAAAGACTTTTTTTTATAGAAGGTCTCAAAGACTGGGAATAAATGAAATGGAGTACTATAGAGTTAAAAGAGCTGTGA